TAATAATAGTAGGCTATGTTGTGATACAATAGTTTTGGAGAACAATTAGCTATTATGTTTTTTTATCCTAAACTTTAAAATTTTTTTTCATTTCGTTAGAAAGTCTCAAAATTCTTAGTTTTTTCCCATATATCGCAACTTCGAATTTCGCACGGTGTGGCCTACAGGCAAGTTGCTATCGATAAATTCCAATTTTTAAATATTTACGTTTCAAGGCCTCTTCCACATTATGGCATTCCTTAAAAAAAAGTGTTTATGTATGGATATAATAGGTAGACAGATAGATTCGTAGACTGATAGGGATGTTAGCTGATAGATAGGTAGGCAGGTATATAGGCATGTATACAGGTAGACAGGTATAGAAAGTTTATCAGGTAGACGTGGATAAATGTAGAGAAGTAGACAGGTAAACAGGCAGGTAGATCATATATAAATTAAAAATTAAATTAAGATTGATTATTTAAGCAACTTGCCACAAATTAAATAATTTTAATACCAAAAAATTAAAGATTTTTTAAATAGATTGGAAATTTGCTATTCAAACTGCTTTCTGAAACAATAATTAATGTTATTATTATATATTTAGTTTTATATAAAATTTAAAATTCATTGTTCAAAATAAATAAGAACTTGCAAGAGTAACATGTAATTACTGTATGTGTCATGTAATCATAAATATTTTTTAGTTTTAAATCAGCTATTACATGAAATTCTTAGAAGTAAGTTAGTTATTTGATACCTACTAATGTAGGTCGTTAAATTTAGAGTAAACCTTACTAAAATTATTTGGTTTCTTTTCATATTAAGATATATTACCAAATTGCATAAGATGAGCTTATGCTATTAGAAAAATTAAATAAATGCGGATTTTAGTTTACTGACATAGGTTTAATTTTAAAAACTATTTCTTTATATATGCAACGTTCAATGAAAATGGATCGTTCACTTTCAAATAATTTCTTATTCAATCATTTTATACCTAATTTAGAGCAAAGTCGTATCAGCATTCAACATTTACCGCAAATCCACTGATACCAATGAAGTCCGCCTTGGTATTAAAATTTTTAAAGGGCAATGGTACAAGATACCTTTGCAGTAATCCAAATTAATTATCATATTAATCTTTATTACACGGGCTTCATATAACCAAATTATAGAGGTACTAAATTAGTCTGGCTGGCAGTGTTGTGACACTGAATACTATTAATTATATTACTCTATCACTAATATCTATAATAGATTCAAGTTGTGATGACAATTTTCAACCAGGTGCCTTTGTAACAGACATTTGACTAAAATTATTATTATGTCATTTATTAAGTTTACAATCAAAAATATATAATTTAATTAATTGCTCATAATGGTAGTAATACATGTAACACACAGTTAGAGGATATATAAAGAATCGGGATAAATACAAAAAATTAGAACTTATTAGAAGATTCCTAGTTAAATGGTCTTGAAAATATCACCAATTCAAATTAAATTGAATGACTAGTATACTACTTTTTTCAGTTGTGCAAAAATTCCTTAAAACATTTTTTAAAATAATGGTCAAAATAATTTTGTTTATAGTTTTTGTATGTTTATTCTATTTTTTTCAATTTTTTCTCGGTTTTCTTATGATCTGCAAAAAATTGAATATTCTTCTACAATGCTACGCTTTGGACTTTTTTAGATTTTCTTTATTAGTAGTAAATTTTTTATATAATATGTATATATATAATATTTTATATAATTTATAGCGTAAGTTACTGCAATCGTCCAATAATAGAAAATATTTTTGCATATCTTGATGTTTCAAAGGTTTCTGAGGACTTTGGCATATCTCAGAAAAAATGGATGTGTGTGTGTATGTCTGCAAATGTGTACCGCTCAACCGATTTGAATGATTCAAAAAGCATTGTATTTCTACTTATGGGGATTAGTGCTGATTATTAGTTTTTGGGAAAGCCGATCTCAATTAGAATGGAAATTAAGCTTTTTGAAGGAACGGTGTATCCGATTTTATTGATTCAAAAAACATTAAATTCGTAATGATAAGAAATCATGATGATTAGTTTTTCGCTCAGCCATTTCAGAGATGTTGAGCTAAAAGTGTAAAAAATGGCAGTTTTTGAGAGCACGAAGCATCCGAATCGAATGATTCAAAAAACATTTAGCTTTTGAAGATACCATTAGTTTTTGTGGAAAACAGTAAATTTATTTTTTTCAAGATCTTATAAAAAATTGCCATTTCAATTTCCATTTTTTTTGTCAATATCGGAAATGATGCGGATTTTAATTTTAATTCTAGCTGAAATTCTAAAAATCGCATATATACTTCAAATGAAAAACTTGAACTTTAGAAGTCAGTTTATATAATTCTTAGAAGTATGACTTTTATGTAAACATATATATATAAAAGTCATTGTCCATTTTATAAGCTCTTATATTTTGCCTATATAAGAATCTATTTCAAAGCAATTAATATTTCTCGAACATTTTATTAAGGTAAGGAAAGTTCCAGCATTAAGCCACGATGCCATGGACCACTAGTTTATATTCTAATTTTGAAATTTATTTAAAAAAAGATACATATTTGTTATTGTTAAGTTATTATTAAAAGAAATCGAACTTAACATTTGACAACCAAACTTACATTTGACTTCTTTAATGGGAACTTGTTTGGACAAATATGCTTTATCTTTCTCCCTTTGGACCCTATCTCAAAATAATTATTAATATGATTAATAATTATATATGAGCTGTTATGGCGACTGTCACTACCATACCCTGGCACAACCGTACCTGGTTTCCTCTATATAACACAATTGAATATTTATTATTTGCTCTGGTTTTTATTTTAACACTCTCGATTCGTTTTCTTTAAAGTTGATATATATGTACTTTTCCTAATCCACGAATTATGATTAAAATTTTAATTCTACTTAACAGTCATTAAACCGTTTAAATATATTGAAATTCTTTCAAAGAATGCAGTTGACAAATTACCTTACATCATATGCATAGTAATCTTTCGCAGATAAAATAAAGCATTATGTATTCTATCGTAATGCTATTTAAATATTTTGTTTTATTACAAACTCTTTTGTAGAAAGTAGTCATTCCATAAATTCAAAATAACCAAATCCATTGTTATATCATACGGAATTACAGAAGTCCATTAATCACTCGCCAGTTGCCTTATAAATTAATTTTAATGTATTAATTTAGTTTTAATGTATGTCGATGACCATAATTCGCCATGAGCGGCCGTTGAATATACGAATTACCGCAGGTGTTGAAAATATCTAATCGGATTAATAGTTTTCTTCCTTATGGCAATTGGCGCGGGTTACGGATTAAAATGAGAGCTAGTCAACATTGTGAATAATTGTTTTAATCAAAAATAAGTATATAAATATATATTAGATGGTACAATTTATAAGCAGTAGGATGACCCTCAATATGAATAATTTCGAAATTTTTTGCTCCCAGGGGCTCAAATTTTCAAAATGATAAAAAAAATCTCTAAAAGCTTTAGCTCTTATTATCAACCTTAAGATAGTCCGCATTCCAACCAAAGTTTCTTATTAAAGTAAGATAATAAAGAACAAAATTCCATTTGTTCAGAATTTTATAACTTAGTGACAAGTGAATCAAAATTTTGAGAATAACATTTTTTTTTAACTCGTTTTATTTAGCAATCAGAAATACATAAAGATTCCTATGAGCTAAAATGACAATGTAAGAGCGATGCCTAAGAAGAGCTCCAATGAGAATAACATTGTATTTGCATATTTTGATCATAAATAAAACTAGTGGTGTGTATGGCATCTTGGAATATTAAATGTTTTCAAAGATATTATTATAAATAAATACTGTAAATTTGTTTAATATTTATAAGAATTATATAAACTAAAGTGCAAAGTTGAAAATATTTGTTCAAAGTATATTAAAGCTTAAATCAGAATTACATTTAAAATCTGAATAATTTTCGATATACAAAAAAAATTTTCTTGAAAAAAAAAAATTGAGACAATTTTTTTCCAAAAGGAATTCTTTTGTTAAAACAAGCAGAAAGTTCTTTGAATCATTTCTCATCACGCTTAGTTCTCTCAAAAACCGGCATTTTTTGCACATTGAGCTACGAAACCGCTGGACCTGCCTTTGCCAAAAACTAATTACAACTTCTCCCCGTCATTACGAATTGAATGTTTTTTGGATCATTCAACTCCGAGGCTCTGATCTCTCAGAAACTCAATTTCTATTTTCTGCATTCTTTGCTCCGTATCTCCGGAACGGCTGGACCTGCCCTTGCCAAAAACTAATCAGCACATCTCCCTATCAATAGGAAACCAATGTTTTTTGAACCATTCGAATCGGTTGATCTGTGCGCCCGAAAACGTGGACAAAAAATTGTATCCATACATACATACACACACACATCCATTTTTCCTGAGGTATGCCGAAATGTTCAGAAACCTTCAAAACGTCGAGAAATGCAAAAATTTTCAATTTCGATTTTTGCACGATTACAATAACTTACCCTACGAAAAGTTAAAAATTACAACAAAAATTTTATGAAATAAATATTTACTTAGGAAGAAGAACTAAGAAACTTTGGTTGGTGTGCGGACTAGGTCAAATTTAATATTAAAAGATATAACTTCAGAGCATTTTTTTATCAATTTGGAAGTACTTGAGCCACTGGGAGCAAAAAAATTGAAAAATATCTCTAATCTAAAAATAACTCTAGTAAGCAGAGATATTTGATAGAATCCAATAAAGATAATTTTTGATAAAAGCCTCATATTCTTTCTCGCGTTTTTGCCATCCTTCAATAACTCAGGTTGTTGGGTTATAATTTAGCCCTTGTGCTGCATTATGACTGCATTAAACTGCATTGTTGGTATATTTTATGTATTTGTTGCAAGTTCTTATTGCACTATTGATTTGTCACTAAGTTCTAATTGAATAAGATATACTTATTGATTACATATTTTATATGTTGTTAGGCGGACTTTTGGAAGTGAGAAAAATAAGCCCTATTTAAATCTGCTACTTCCTCTACAGGGAAGCAACCATCCGGTGTGAAAGCTCAATGCCATGAAGCTTGCCGTCTTCATGGCCAATATAATAAAATAAAAATACGTCAGAACAAGGGTAAGGTAAGGGTAATATAGTAAACTATATTACCATTAGCGCTCACACTACCATTTTCAATAATTGCCATTATGAAAAATAAGCCCTATTTAAATCTGCTACTTCCTCTACAGGGAAGCAACCATCCGGTGTGAAAGCTCAATGCCATGAAGCTTGCCGTCTTCATGGCCAATATAATAAAATAAAAATACGTCAGAACAAGGGTAAGGTAAGGGTAATATAGTAAACTATATTACCATTAGCGCTCACACTACCATTTTTAATAATTGCCATTATGAAAAATAAGCCTTATTTAAATCTGCTACTTCCTCTACAGGGAAGCAACCATCCGGTGTGAAAGCTCCATGCCATGAAGCTTGCCGTCTTCATGGCCAATATAATAAAATAAAAATACGTCAGAACAAGGGTAGGGTAAGGGTAATATAGTAAACTATATTACCATTAGCGCTCACACTACCATTTTCAATAATTGCCATAATGAAAAATAAGCCCTATTTAAATCTGCTACTTCCTCTACAGGGAAGCAACCATCCGGTGTGAAAGCTCAATGCCATGAAGCTTGCCGTCTTCATGGCCAATATAATAAAATAAAAATACGTCAGAACAAGGGTAGGGTAAGGGTAATATAGTAAACTATATTACCATTAGCGCTCACACTACCATTTTCAATAATTGTCATAAGGAAGAAATCTATTAAACCGCTTTGATATTTTCGTCACCTCCGGTAGAATTGGAATTGCATATTGTTTGACGGAGATTTGTAATGTCGCCATCGGTCATAATCGTTTTAATATGTCTGTGTTTAATTGCTCCGTATTTAGTCCAACTAGAGCATTCATTTTTCGTAACATTCGCGGACCTGTCATTTTACGACGAAGGTCGCGCGGCTACCGTTGCCAATTGATTTTATTGTGGAGATTGTTCAAATATTTGTGTAAAGAATTACGTATGCATACTTGAATTAAAAATTTTCGGTGGGACACCTACACCAACTAATTGCTATATTGTTTTAAATGTCGTAATCCACAATACATTTTGCCTTAATTGGAACGCTATCTGTTAATTAACTACATATGTTTTAATTAAGCTTTCTAATTATGTAATTTTATGAGAGTGATAACGAGCTTAATGAAATAAAATTGAGAATGAAAACAAGAAATATTTATTTAATTATTTTATTTATTTAATTTCAACGTTTTAGTCGTTGATTTAATCAGCACAATTTTATTTGCACGTCTTCATAATTTAATATTTGAAAAAATCCACCAATAAACTCATGATCTAATATAAATATTTTTTTTTAATTTTCACGTGAAATTTTATGTTTCAAGCACTACAAATACTAATATGTGTATGATTCTTGTTTTTTTTGAAAGAACTCTTTCCTTCTACTGGCCAGTTAGCTAATTTTATAAAGGGTGTCCTCGATTTTGACTGGTGTTTCGACACCCCGCCGAAACGGGGTGATAGTATTGACCCTAATTGTTCTGGAAAAAATTACAAAAAAAAAAATATCTCACGTTGTTTGCTAATAAGTGCAACTTGAAGTTTTGGTAAAATTATGACTATTTTTCAGTTATTGCGGTTAATTTTTGAATCGTAACCGTGAATGACATTTCTAGGACCACAGTAAAAGAATATCACAGTTGCTCCGAGTTGTCAAGAAATAGAACTTTTTGTTAAACTATGAATTTAAAAATAAAATTATTAAAATCGTTCGACTTTGTAAAAATTTTTGTATAAAACATATAAAAACTTAAAAATGATATGGTTTTTTCTTGAACATTTTATTCACATTTTGATCAAATATTTCTCTCAAGAAGATTGTACGTATAAAAAATATTTGAACTGATTGTGAACAAATTTATTAGCAAAAATCAAGTCATGTTTAGGTTTATCTTTACTCTTGAATCTTTTAATAATGAAATTATCAATAAAAAATAAAATTATAAATTCGCCAACTTTTGATGAAACTTGCCAATACACTTTAGTAAATTTTTTTATAGAAGTGTTAATCCTTGAAAACTAGTTTGTACTTTAAAAGCTCATAATTTCAGAACAACGCTAGTTTTTTTTTTTCAATTTTTTTCAAGACAGTTAAGGTCAGTATTACCCCATTTCAGCTAGATCTGGAGCACCCTGTGTAAAGGCATAGAATTATTTTTCTCAAACTATGTTTTACACACTCTTTCTCATTGTATTATTATTATTATAATTTTAATATTATGCTAATTCAATAATATTGCACTAATATTTTATAGGGTTCCAAAAATCAAGCTTTCCTGACCTTTCTTAAAAAAGTTTGTACATGGCAGATTTATTGTTAAAGTGTCTAAAATTTAATAATATTATAACCATATTATTTTGGCTCTTCTCGGTTTCAAAATATGTTCTAAAATGCGCAAAATTTGATCTGCGCTCAAAATATATATTTGAAATGTTCAGACTTATAGGGAGAACTTTAGATATATTATTAGGAATTTTGATGAATCTTTTCATGTTGTTGGAGTCTGTAGTCAAAACAAATACCTTAAAAAATTATAGTCCAATGATAAGTTGTTTAATTATAAAAATTTAAAAAAAGTTTAGAAAAATAGGCTGGGAGCGAAATCGAGCGGGTTTGCTGAGATTATCAACTTCATCAACATGCAAAATTTTATCAAAATACCAGAAGAGTTAACTTGAGGTTATTAGTAAGTATTATAATTTGTTTAAATTTAAATAATTTATTATGAATTCTAATGCATATTCAAGATGGGTTATACCTAATATAATCTATTGGGAGTAATGCATATAAAGAAAGTTAATTACATATCTCTTTATATAAACCTGAATCCTACCCAGTATTGTAATTTTAGTACATTATTAAAAGTACTCTTGCTGCCCACTATATTAATGAATCTACTAAATTCCAAAAATCTGTAAACCTACAAACAGTAAAAGGTTAATAATATCTATGTGTCCAAGGTTTTAAAAATGCTTCAATTAGCAAAGTCTTGTTTTTTTCGCATCCGTTTGAAGTTTATAGAGATTAGCGATGTGTCCTTTTATATATTTGTAACAATTTATAATTTATTACTAAAACATTGCCTACGGCAACGCTCGTGCTAATGTTGAAATTTTGAATTGTAATTGAGATGTGGTTTGCAAATATAATCATGTTTTTATATTTAAATATATATGTTTATCTAAAAGTATATATGTGTGCATATATACTAATCTCGTTTTCGAATTAAGAAATTTTAACATTGTTAAAAGATAAATTAGCGTTGTTATTATATGAATTGATTAACATAATTTATTTCAGAATATTCTTTGATAGATTTGATTATAATGAATTTTGTAAAATGGGAAACACCTAGAATATGGCAATAATAAATTCAAATTTGATGTCAATCAATTCTTACGCAAAGTGAAAAGTTATTTGAATATAATTTTTGATTGATTATCTTATCGAGCGAAGATTGTGCATTATAATAACTTGCAACTTATATTTAAAATGCATTTTAGAGGGCGTCCATTAATCACATGATCGGCTTTTTATGGATTTTCGGACACTTCCTCCTCTTTGGTGATTCATGATGATATTCAAAATTAGTAAATATAGAAAATAAATTAAATAATAAATAAATAATAAAATAGCTAATAATTAATTATATTATATTAAACCTATAAAACATTGACTTAAGCCTTATTATAATATTATTATACTGACGGCTTGTAAAATTAATAAATAAATAAATAAATAAATAAATACGCTTTCCCCACCAAACATCACATGTATTTTTAGTGAAAAAATTATAAAATTTTTGATTTTTTTTGAAAATGTTTGGATTTTTTCTAAATTCAGGTAGATAATAAATACACGTGAAATCTTACCCTTTCTCCGCAACGATTAATGGACCCCACCTTTTATAAAAGTTTTTCTTTTAAGGAAGACGCATTTACGAAAAAAGCTTATCATTGTATTTAAATATTTTTTAATAAAAAGCCCATTTATATTTTAAATCATATGAAACTAACTGCGATTTTATTTGTGGCACCAAAACTGATATTTTGGTGAATTATTTTATATTGCGGAAACAAAAACAACATCAAAATATTGCAATACTCATTATTAATTGATAGTTTATTGAATTTAATTATAATGTAGAAATTTTCTTTTTAGACTATATTCAGACTGTACTTATAAACTATTATAGGGTAGGGCAAGGCATAAAGGTTCAATTTGACTTTAAGTAATTATACCAACTAAACCAAATGAACTACATCACACGTATGTCAAGTACTATCGTACTATGTTCTCTAAAATTCCCAGTAAATTCCAAACTAGAGAAATGTATTTTTTTACTATTTTTATAAAATTTGTCATTTGTTCTTCTGATCCCATGAGCGGTGTAGCATAGGACAGAAAACAATCAGATATTATATCATATTTTTAATTTTTTAAAAGAATTTAACGAAATAATAGCTACATTTTTCAACCAATGCAAAATATAAATTTTACGGGTACATTTTTCATAAAGAGATTACTGTATGTTAAATACAGTATTATCGATCTGGCATTTCGTCAGCAATATCCATCATCAGAGTTCGAGTAACTATTAATATAATAATCCACTTGTAAAATTTTCTAACTTAGCTCACTCTTTTATTTGCTATTTTTTATTGCTTACTTCTTTATGGCAAGTTTTTAAAAGGTTATATAAAAAATGGTTGAATCTGAAGATAATAATACAATAATATATAAAAATTAAATAACATAATCTTTAATATTAGATTTAGGTCTCGTAAACTAAACAACAGTGCTCACAATAAAAAAATACCAACAACGAAAAAAAATACTTTTGTTACAGATTTTCACACATTACAATTTGTCTTCTGATGGTGATGTTGTTTGATTTTAGGCTATGGCTGATCGCACATCTTTTTCCATCTACTTTTAAATATTGCTATTAAAAATTCTTAACCTTACTTATTTTTAAGATGTCGGTAATGGAACTTCTTACCCGCGGATCTTTAAGACCCGCTCTATCCTATTGGTAATCAATATTATTGAACGAGAGAACTTTATCTTCAGAAATAGATGTTCTGTAATGCTGTAGTAAAACGGAGGTACAAACAATTTCTATGCTTTAGCAAAATATGACGAGTTTAGTAAAAAAGCAAAAAAGGTTGTTTATATTAAAAAGCAACTAGTGGGGCGCATGGCATCGTGCCTTAAGGCAAATCGCTGGAACTTTCCGTACCAAAATATATTTCTTTAAAAAAGATTAACATTTTTGAAAAAAAATACTTTGACAAAACTGGATTTTTGAGAAACTATAAATTTATGAAAAAAAAAATTTTTTTTTGGAAAAAAAAAACTTTTTAAAAAAATGTTTTCTTTATTTTGAAATATTTTGGAAGTTCTGAACATTTTTCAAATCAAACGTACTACTTTAAACGTACGCGTCGCCGTCTAATGGATAAACATTGGTACGGAACCCATAGAAATGTAAACAAAATTTATACTTATTATTAGAATCTCTATAAAATATCTGATAATTTTATGTGCGTATGTCTAATGATAATTTTTGACCGCCAAATGGATTTTTTTTCACTTTTTTTACTA